AGGGCAAGGCTTTATCCCTACTTAGAGATTAGCCAGTTAAAACCCAGGATCTGCTGGAGGGCTGTTGATCTGCCATGGGCAATCTGGTTCTCTGAAATTGGTGGCTATATGCTCTGGAAAGGAATGGAGGAGGCAAACCTTCTTGCTCTGAATTTCTGATGCACTGTCAGCAGAGGGCCTTTCTCTCTTCTCACTTCTCCCTTCTAAATCGTATTTTCTATGAGGGGGACACTGCTTTTTCTGGAGAACTGTTAATTCCTGGAGGAATAAGCCATTGAAGCCTGCATGGGAACACCCACTCATTTGCAAATTGGCAAACAGACTCTCCCACAAAGTACAAGAAGGCTTGATTCAGGGCATAGAGGAAACAATGAAGTCCATTTAACAAAGCCAAGATTTAATGAACTCAAAACAATGCGCTTCAAAAAATAAGTTCATAGAGCAGCGTTTTGAGCTTCAACGCAGGCCTTGTTTGCTTTATTTTGAAAACACCATCTGTTCACTCAGTAAGAGTTTACTGGTTTGTTTGTCATCATAATTTTTCACCTACATAATTTCTGAGCAATGAATGAAAATGTTGACTGGAATTTTGCAAATGATAACCTTTCTGTGTCTGGGCCAGCTTTCACAAATCATACAGGACCTGCCAATAGCATAGGTAGCTTCTATGGCCTGGCAATTCGCAAAAGAAAGATACAGGAGAGACAAGCTCACCTTTCAGATGAGTCTGCCATAAAACCCCTTTTATGGGGCTCTTTCAAGATCCTGTGAAAACCTTCCCATCAGTTTTGTTCCTGTGTCTTATGGGGACATAGCAATGGGCCTCCCAGGGAGATGTTGCTTTGGGATCTCTCCCAGTGGCCCCCCCTCCCCCTTCATCTTCATCTCAGGAAGGGGGAAGAGAGGGGATGGGGTCAGAGAGTGGAATGGTGGGTAATTACCAGGAAAAAAATAGGAGCCTCCTACCTTTTATCAGAGCAAGTATCAAATACTGTTTGGCCCAAGCACATTTTGTCCCATTCTGTTTCTTATGCAAATGCAACATCTAGAAACCAGCCTGCCACAAAAGTTGACTCTGCTTCCCGACTTCATTCAACTTGCCCTTGAAAGGAGTATCATGTACCTGATTGTTAGCTGGGTCCCCCCCTCCAAGAAATTGTAGGCGAGATTTTATCGTTATCAGGCTTCTCTAGAAACCAAAAGCACCTGTTCTTTGTTAAGGTGGGCTTCTAAAGAGAGAAATAGTCCCATTAGCAAACACCCAGAGTTCATACAGGAACACTATTAACATCTCCAGCCCAAGAATACCAATCTCAAATGAATCAACTTTAAGACACTCGTATTAAGCAGTTACCTGTGCCCGGCACTGTGCTAAGCAATTTACATCTATTATTCCATCAGGTCCTTACAACAGCATAAGGGATAGGAAGCCTGTTTTACAGATTCGAAAACTAAAGGCTTGGCAAGGTCTAGTTACTAGCTTAAGAATTGTGACGGAGCCACGATTTCATAATTCCAGAACCTGTGCTCTCGGTTACATATGACATAATTCAGCACTGATGACAATAATGTATACTATCTAGCAGGGACCCATTCCTCGTAGGCTCCCCTCTTTGGATTTCTCAAACAGAATGAAGCATAAAATGAAAGTTTTCCCTCATGCCCTGACCCATAGAGGAAAATAAGTCATGTCTATGCAAACTGATTTACAATAGCCCCTCCTTATCCACGGTTTCCTTCCCCAAGGTTCCAGTTATCCATGATCAACCACATTCCAAAAATATTAAAGAGAAAATTCCAGAAACAATCCATAAATTTTAAATTTCTCACCATTCTAAGTAGCATGATGGAATCTCATGCCATCCCACTCCATCCCGCCATTGACTTGAAGCATCCCTTTGTCCAGCGTATCCACACTGTATACACTCCCTGCCCATTAGTCACTTAGTAGCCATCTAGGTTATTGGATTGACTATCCTCATATTGCAGTGCTTGTGTTCAAGTCACCCTTATTCTACTTAATGGCCCTAAAGTGCAGGCATAGTGATGCTGGCAATTTGGATATGCTAAAGAGAAGCTGTAGCGTGCTTACTTTAGATGGAAAGGTATAAAAAGATGAGGGGAAAAAACATAGTATATACTGTGTATTGTTCAGTACTAACCATGGTTTCGGGCATTCACTGAGGATGCCGGAACATATTCCCTGCGGATAAGAGGAGACCACTGCATATTTAATATTCTGAGTAATACAATGTTATAGACAATATTGTATGCTTTTAGGAAAGGGAAAAATTAAATCTCAGAGAAGCTTAATAACTTGCCCCAAAACACACAGCTAGGAAGTGGTAGAGCTGGGCTTTTGATCCCAAGTCAACTACAGGGCTATCTGCCCAGTCTGACCCTAAACTGCCTCAAAGCATCTTGCAGGAGCCCATCAGACATTTCCACTGAGAGACAGGAAACACCTTTATTTTCACTGCAACCCCTTCCATGAGTGAATTCTGCCCTTCTAGGTCAGAGACAAGACCGTCCTGTTGACCTGCCTGGGCCAAGACTGTCTAAAAAGAAGGACATAGTAAAGATGTGTGAAAAGAATCTTCTTGAAATAGAAATACGTATCCCGACATACACAGAAGAGCAACACTAAATTATCAGTGATGAATAATCATTCATGTCTAATCAGAGGGGCATTCTTTATGCAACCAGGCTGTGTAGGCTGCTGTGCCTTGGCTGACTGGTTACTTCCTCTGTCAATCATGTTGATTCTTCCTTGTTCCCGCCTCTCCATCCCATGTTCTCAGCACAGACTTCCATCACTCTGTGCATTCCCCCACCCACCCATTTCCTAGATCCACTGACTTGCCTGCGTCTTTCCAGAACCTAACCCAGTGCCTGGTGTACTATAGAGGCTCAATAAATACCTTGTGGGTATGTTGTTTTTTTAATGGAGGGAGGAAGAAGCTCAGAGATAGTGCTAAGACCTGGAAGAGAGAAACTCGGAGAATTCACACATACGTTTTTGCTCGGGGAGCAATGCCCCTAATGAACTATAGATAGAGGTCAGTGTAAATTTCTGATATTTCCAGAATAAATTCGATCCTAGGCAACAAATAAATTAATATGTTCCTTCCTTCTCCCCTCTACAGACTATTCAGTCTTTATCCATAAAATATAGTAATTGTGTGTGTGTTATACACTATAGATATAACTCATGTTACATAAATCTACAATGGACATTTTGTGGTACTTTGAGGAAGAGAAAAAAACTCAGGAATAAATATACATGTTGCCAGAAATTATTAGTTGTCTTCATGTAAACTATTTATTTATCTAGTACTTTTACAGTTTACAGGAGCCTCTCATTATTGCTCTCTCACCCTGTCAGGTGAGCCCCAGGTTACAGCCTCCACTTACAGAGAAGGAAACTGAGTCACAGAAATTTTTAGTAGCTTGCCATGTGGCCATTTCCTCAATCTTTACACACCGTCATGGTAAGACATACCATCAATTTAACCATAGGTTCTGAGGAAATACGAAAACTCTACCTCATTTGTATGCATATTACTTAGAAGACATATCCCAATGTTTCTGAGACATTAAGTTACGCTGGCTTGGAGGGAAGGATGTATATCTTAAAATAAAGGAAAGATAAGTAGCAACACAATGACTTAACCCAGCCTTCTAACTAAGTCATGGTGTACAGATAATTCTTATTCTCAGCTACAGTATACAGCCCTGCAAAGCAGGGTATTTTTCTATACTTTTTTAAAAAAGCTTTTTAATTGATTTTTTTTTTTGAGAGGAAGGGAGAGGGAGAGAGAGAAAGAAACATCGATGTGAGAGTAATATATACATTGGCTGCCTCCTGCACCAGGACAGAGCCTGCAAATGGGGCACATGCCGGGATGGGGAATCGAACCAGCAACCTTTTGGTGCACGGGATGATGCCCAACCAACTGAGCTATATCGGCCAGGGCTCTGCACTTTTTACATCTTTCTCTCAAAAGGCTTAATGTAGTGGCTTCTGTGCAATATGCTCCCAGTTGATTGATCAAACGGGCTGTTTCCTCTAAAAATAAAACAAACCCTGATTTTTCATTTTTAAATTTCTGGGTGCTAAAGTTCTCCAGGCGACATATTTGGAAATTTCCCAGGAGCAGCATTTTTTCTGTTGTTTTTCGGTGGGACCTTGTTTGGTGACTAAGGATTCATCGTAAGATTGCTTTTCGAAGTTCCTTCTGTGTCATTGCTCTGGGAGCCTAACAAAACCTGAGAAGCCTAGAGATCTACAACCAAAAGTTACATTTCAGCATGAAGGTCTAGGGCAGCGGTTCTCAACCTGTGGGTCGTGACCCCTTTGGCGGTCAAACGACCCTTTCACAGGGGTCGCCTAAGACCATCCTGCATATCAGATATTTACATTATGATTCATAACAGTAGCAACATTACAGTTATGAAGTAGCAACGAAAATAATTTTATGGTTGGGTCACAACATGGGAAACTGTATCTAAAGGGCCAGAAGGTTGAGAACCACTGATCTAGGGGAACTTCAGGATGAAACTGTACAGGTTCAGAGCTTATTAAAAAATATTATAGAAAAAAAAAATGTACCATTTGCATTGGCACAAACAGCCTGCTTTTTGCTTGTCAGGTTTAACACTGCTGAACTTGAGTCCTTTTATGTTCAAAGTTTAGAGAGTTTACCTATAAAAAAAGAAAGAAAGCAAGATGTAAAGAATGAAAATTGTCACCTAAAACTGTGTAGAAATTAGGTTGCCTCCAATCAGTTATTTTTTTGTACAAGGGGCGAAAATTTGTTTATTCCAATCATGGTGGAAGTGGTTTAAAAAAAAAGTTTTCAACCCTCTGAAGTAAAAGAAATTAGACTCAAGTGGCCGTAACTGAGCTTCCCATCGGATTATTGTGCAAAGTCCCCTTTATTCCCCCCGCGGTGGATAATGCGTGTTCATTGTGGTTTATCTGGAGCCGGTTTCTTTTACACCCTCAGCCTGTATAAAGTCGAGCTAGGACCGGGGCCGGAGAACTGGGCGGCATCTGGGAGGCAGCATCCACAGTCAGAGAGAATGAAACAGTCGGGAACATGAGCAACTCCATGTGTTATTGACCTCCCCGTGGTATGAGCCCCACTTTTCACCTCTCAGTGCAGACCAGGAACCATTAGAAAGAGGAGGCGGACGGCATTCCGGATCTCCCTTGGAAATCCCCCCGAAGACTGTGTGCGCTGCTTTGTTCTCACCCTTCCTTTCCATTTCTCGCTCCTGTTTCTGACCTAGAATGATCGAGGCTCGGGCCCTGGCAGGACCGTGAACATCTGGCCAGCTTGGTTTGGCCACTTGGCCAAGACCAGGTTCTGAGAAGCAATGATGATGAGGGCCTTCGTCCTGTTGGCCGTCTTTGTGGAAGCCTCTGCGAAGTCCTGCACTCCGAATAAAGCAGGTACGCCCTGGCGCTAGGCCTCTTCCTGGAGATGCCCTGAAACCTCCCTTTGCAAAGCTCAGAGCTCTGCATATAGCCAAGTGAAGCACTTAAGCCCCACCCCCCACCCCCACAAGTGCCAATCAGAATTTTCCCATAAGAAGTAAAAAAATGTACTAGATAAAATTAGACTTTCTAAAAATCAGAGAATAGATGGATAGAGATAAAATCTCCACTTTTTAAAATATTTTCCACTTGATTTGAATTTCTATCCTGTGCCATCAATTAGCATTTCATATGAATGGACATTTTTTAAGTGAATGGATATTTTTTATTTTAAGTTATGTGCTTATTTTCATGGGATTTAAAATATATATACAGGGTGTCCCAAAAAATGTATACACACTTTTTTTCTGATAGGTCAATTGAAGTTTCTTTCTTTTCAGATTTAACCCATTAGAATGAATAATTATTCAAAGTGTGTGTACATTTTGGGGGGACACCATAGATATATATATCCAATCAATCCAATCTTGTTTCATAGGTACATTCCTTGAAATAAATTAAAGTTTAAAAGTCAGCCTGTCAGAGAAAGATAAATACCACATGATCTCACTCATTTGTGGATTATAGAGAACAACATAGACTGATGAAAAGGGACAGACCCAAAGACTGAGAAACAGCGATCAGGCTATCAATCCCTAGAAGGGAAGTAGGGGAGGGCGGGGGTAAGGGGAAGAGATCAACCGAAGGACTTGTATACATGTATATAAGCCAAACCAATGGACATGGACAACAGCGGGATGGGAGCATGAGTGTGTGTGCGGGGGGAGGTTGAGGGTTACTGGGGGAGGGGGGAAGGAAACATTTGTAACACCTTAAATAATAATAATAAAAAAAAAATTTGAAAAAAAAAATGTGAAAGTATTACTAATCTGAGAAATGTTAAATATTTAATTTGCCACCTGAAGTTTGAGGCTTCCTAGAGTTTAAAATTCAAATTA